CCGTCCTGGGAAACAGCCGCAGGAGAGGGGGACAGGAGGGCTCTGTGTGGGTTGGGATGGATAGAAAAATTTTTAAATTTATTTTTTTTTCTCTGGGAAGCGTAGAAGTTTTAAAAGACCACACTTCGAGAGCTGCAGCATGCTGCTTTTGCAGCAGCCTCATTTGCTTTCTAGTATCTTAGTCCAAACTTTTTTTTTTTTCCCCCAATAGGTTAAAGAATTTGATTCGATCTCGCGGTTGGATCAGTGGCTTACAACCATGTTGCTTCGCATCAAGAAGTCGATCCAAGGAGAAGGGGATGGGGACCTGAAGTGAAGTGTGCGTGGTGTTTGTGGCATGCAGCCCGCGTCACCTTTCTTGTGTTCCAGCCGAGGACCGCCGTGGGATGCGGGATCCGATATCGCGCTTTGTTTTGTTGCTTCCAAACCCGATGACTCGTGTGTTTCTTTAGTCCCCTGCTCTTGTCGTGGCAGCGCGGGTGGGCAAGAGGCGATGCTCTGGGTGGCACCAGCAGATCTTTCTGAGGCGGAGGGAGCACTTGTGCAGGAATCCTTCCTTGGTTTCGTTAGCTGCTGACCCCAGAGCCTGCACTCGCCCCTCCCGTGTTCTCCCCGCTGTTCTGTTGCACGGCTCCGCGCCGTGGGTTCCAGCATGTCTGTGGTTTCTCGCGCCAGCACAGCGCCAGTAGCTGCTTCTGCTCCGTTGCTGTAGCGTTCCCGTGCTCTGTTGCAAAAGGGACCTGGCCAGATGCTCCTTGCGTTTTGGTTTTATTTTTACTGATTGAGCTTTTTTAATGGTGCTGGTGAGTCTATACACTGTGTGTGTGTGTGTGTGTGTGTGTACATCCTATAGAGACATGTCTGCACGTATAAACACACAACAGAGGAGGAGCTAGTGCTGGAAGCTTCATGCGCTGGGGGCCACGACCGCTCAGATTGCTGTCAGCCCTCTGCACGGTCGTCACGCATAGCCCTAGTTAACGCTGTGTTTTGTATTTCAGATCGAATAGAAAATGTAAGGGTCTTCTCTATTTTCTTGGATCTATTTTTCCACTTTATTTTGTGGTGCGTCCCCTCCCTCCTACCCCCAGATGACTTGACCCGAGTAATCTATTTTTCTAACTTTTCATTTCCGTGAGCTCCCACTGCTGTCTCTGCTACAGGTCTGTTGTGCGCGCTAGGCAACCCCTGTTGTTTTCTGATCTCTTTGCTGTTGGCGAAGCTGCTTCGTTCTTGTGCCGTGCAAAGGTGTTGCCCGAGACTGGACACAACACAGAAGTGTTGTTGGTGTAGTTGTCTGGCTGACTGGGGAATCGAGCTTGCTTTGAAAAGGTGTAAACACGTTTAGAAACCCTGCAGTAATTCTGGAAATGTGTTTAAATGTCCGTGGGCAGGGCTCTCCGTGCAGTGCTCTGGGGAAGCAGAGCCCATGCAGCCGCCTGTTACTGTTTCGTGCGTTTATTCAGGAGTTGGGCACCTCTGCACCGTTGTCAGCAGGAGGCGTCACTCGCTATTTCTCTGTAACAAAGTGATTTTCAGCTGCACTACGGGCCTGCAAAGAATGAAAAAAGTAATTAATCACTTTATGTGGCACATTTGTCTCTGCTGGCGTTGGCACTTCTCTTGGGTTTGTTTTTAAATCTCTTTATTTATTTGAGTAGAACAGAGTTTGGTCCAAGGGGTTTAGTGCTATTGAAGCAGCTTATGAAAAAGAAAACCAAAACCGTGCTCCTTGTATCTGCCAAATGATTATTTTGTTTTGTTTTCCTGACAGATCTCACTAGTCACTTAGTTGCTGTGTACTGTTCTGTGTGTTTAACTCGAAAGAAACGCTGTGTGGAACGGGCAGGGTGAGGGTGCTGGGAATGCCTGGAAGGACGGTCCTTCTTCCAGGCACCTTCCGTTCCTTCATGCCTCAGGTGTGTTTCTGAGGCTGCTGCTCACCCTCACCTTCTGTCTGCTTTAACTTAGACCACTGCCTCTGTCTTTCCCAGAAACTTGGCCAAGAAACACTTCAAATTCTGTGTAGCTTGTGGTTCTTGTCCGTGTCCATGCGAGGCAGAAACGAGGACCCGCTGACGTTTCCCGAGGGTGTCCCGCTCCGGAGTCCTTTGCACGTGTCTGCCCCAGGGCAGAGAAAATCCCAGGCTTGGGACATGGCTGGTGCAGCGGGCAAGTGATGGTGCCGCTGGAGTGGGTTAGCTGCAGCTCTGCTCTCAGTTTGGACAGACAGAAGTGCTGCTGAACTCACCTGTGTTAAGAGGAGGGGGCTGGAACCCTTTTTGTTTGATGAACCTGTTTCCTTAGCAAGCCAAGACCCGTTGGGTGTGTTTATGGGTTTGTATCCAGCACAGCTGGAGCCTGGGGACACAGGGGCTGCGCTTTTCCCAGCCCCAGGGTGAGGGTTTTTTGCCTTTTTCCCGTTGCCAGTATTCCGCACCGTTGCGATGAGCGGCGGCCGGAGCTGGGGACGAGGAGAGCGTAGCCCTGGGGCTGGTGTGGTCTGTTCCCATGCTCTGGAGCAGCTCCATGAAAACACAAACGGCAGTTGTGTGTCGGCAGGCTCCAGCATGTCCTCTGTGTGTCCGTGGTAAATTGTGACAGTTTGACAATGACAATCTGCCCCTTGCTGTATTCCCCCCCGTACACCACTCTGTACTATGAAAACTTACAAATGAAACGGCCTTAGCAAGAATATCATGTTTTGTGTGGATCTGTATGTGAATAAAGTGAAAATCACGACCAGAAGTGCGGACAGGTGTTCTTTCCTGGAAAACGCAGAAGACAGGCTAGAGCCAGAGCCTGACGCAGAGCCAGGGGGGCCACGAGAAAAGCCAGCGCGGCCTTCCAGGTGCTTTGGGGACCTGTCACAGCACATCCTCAGGGGAATGCTGGCGTAGGAACCCACCCTGATCGTTGTACAGGGTCTAGAAACATCCGCTACAGTCATCAAGGCAGGGGCAGTGTTGAGATTTCAGTATTTTAATAAGAACGGTTCGTACGAGTAACTCACTTTGTACATTCCCGGAGTACAAAAGTTTCCCTGGCTACGGGGACTAATGCTCAGATTTAAATATATCTACAGCCTCTTTCCACTGGTCACAGGGATACTGAGCTTCAACAGAACAGCGTGCTTGAATAAATATTTCAAATATAGCTTCTTGGAAATGTTCTCTTTAAAAAAAATTCCCTTTCTACAGCTTTAAGTTATGATTCCCTGGTAACACGTCAGGCATTCCTTTAAGGTTCCAAAAGAGCTCCGTGCCATGCTCTCGTATCTTTATTGCTTCGCCAGCCCCAGCGCCTCAGGATTGTGCTTACCTTAACGCTACCGCAACCTCCCAGAACAGCTTTCTCCCAGCTTCAGCTGAGGAAGTTTCTGTGGACATACTACAGTGAACTAAGGTAAATGGGAAAGCAAATTAGATTTTTTTTTCCACGGTGGCACTGGGAATCTGGTCCTGAGTTGGGCGCATTAACCGTTCCAGCACGGTGCTGTCGATTCACAGCCGCTCCCAAAACCAGAGTCAGGGAAAACGCCCCAAATCCTCCCAGGTACTTCAGGGAGGGTACGCTAAGGGCAACCGTTCCAGGCCAGGAAACATGGCAAACGCTTACCCGGGACAGAAACTCTGCAGTTTCCTGCTGCCACAGCTTTCCCTGCTACTGGGTGCGACTGGGGAGAAGGAGGGGATGTGCTCCGTGGGGAAGGGGAGGAGACAGATATTAATGTTCCTTATTGAAAACAGACAAAAAAGGCACCCCCCAGGGTTATTCTGCTAAAATGCAGCAGCAGATGCTAACTGCTGGAGCCCTGGGACTGTAAGTTTGTTCTTCAGGCTGGCCTCTTGGCACTGCGCTGGGGCCCGCCCAGCAGCCACCAGCCCGAAAGTGCCACTCGGGTTCCAACAACCTAACAAAGAATTCACTCGCTGGGCAATAAACACCTCAATCCCTCCACCAGGACAGGTCATTTGTCACTTACATCTTTTTATGCCATGAGTCATACGCACCCTGCCTCCCATTAGTACCTGAGCATACCTCTGGAGACTCTCACGCCGCTGGAATGAGCTGGAGCAGCTCGGCAGGAAACCAGTAATTAACTTTTCCCACTGGAGTATTAATTTAAAAGCAGGTCTGCAGTTTGGAGCAGCAGCGATGTTCAGTGACAGTGGCAGAAAGAGCATCGCTGACCGATCCGGAGAAAAATGGCAAGAAGCTGCCTTCCCTCACCAGCTTTTCCAGTGTAGCCGATGTGCTACATTTCATGGACATTTTTACAGGAGATGTTTTGGTCTCTTAAGTGCCCAGTTATATGTAACAACAATATCAGCACCTGCACAGACAAAGCACTCGGCTCCCACTGGCCCATTTTGCAATGCTAGACCTCCTGGAATTAAACTCTACATCCTTCCAAAGCTTGCTCCCCTTCCTGTTCCCAAGCTGGCTCGCTGCTTGGATCTCTGGCCAAAGCAGAGATAAACCAATGGTTCCTGAAAAGCAATTTAGTAAAACCTGGGGTTTTTTTAATGTAGGAATTTCCACTAGGGAAAATGCAATTAATATCCTAAGCTGAGAAACACAACATTTCTCAGTGTCACCAAATCAACTGGAAATCAAAGCGGCACCTTCTTGATAACCTGTGACTGTCGGCACCATCCCTGCGGGCCAGCTGGAGCGAACCAGCTGAACTACACCCTTTTACTTGCAGAGAATACATTTCCTGGGACTTCTGCCTCCTCTGCCACCACCCTGGGGTGGTGTCACCCTGCCCTGCCTTCAGGAGACGGAGTGGTACACGGGGGAGGTGGGGAAGGATTTTTTCGAGGAAATTCTGGAAATCCAGTGCGTGTCTGTCATGTCAGGCCCTGCTTCCTTCTTACAGCTGCTCCTCATTCCCTCGAGAGGTTACTGGCAAAGTCCCAGGACTGTACAAAGGGCGCAGCTCAAACCGGGGTGGGAAACAACCAACTCACTCCATATTGACCAGAGCGTGGAGCTGCGGCTGAACCGAGTCTGTCTGTGTGTGCAGCACTGTCAGCTCACTCAGGGTGGTGGCTATAAGGGCTTCCTGGGGTCCCGGGGTCCCGTCCGACTTACAGTCTGTTCCCGTGGCGGAACCGGCGTCGTGCAGGGCAGTCACACTCCCCGGGACAGCAGTCACGTTTGGGTAGTGGCCGTTCTCGGGGAAAGACAGCAGCTTCTCTGGGATTTTAGGTGACGCGTCGTATTCTTCGTCGGGAAGCTCTGTTTTGTGACCGTCGTCATTCTTAGATGCTCCTTCAACAATGACGAGGAAGGACTTCCAGGGTGTGTTTTTATCGTGTATCTGAAAAAAACCCCAAAGTTGTCATTAGTGAACCGTGTTCTGCAAAGTTTCCTAAAATTGCCAACACTCAGATTCTTACTGTGCTAAGAGGAATTTCGTTGGGGACCTCAATAAACTCTCAAGTTTTCAAGTCATCAAGTGACTTGAAAATGAGAAGGTTGTTTTCTGAGAGGAAAAAAAACCAAACCAAAACAGAAGGTTGAACACACGATGACTGTCTGGGAGG